TTTTATTCATTTTATTAACAAATCCATCTGGATGCAGATGCAAGTTAAAAAAACAAACGAACATAGTTACATTTAGATGATTCATCTAGATAGATAGACGAAATAGAGAAACGAACAACATCCAGATGGAGCATCTGGATAAGACATCTAGATGGACCATCTGGATGCATCTTTCAGATGTACAAACGAACAGGGCCTTATTATGTCATATTGTCATGTGCAGCCTAATACAACAAACCGTAAAAATAGGAATTACAGTTACATATCACTCTATCAGTTTTTTGTTCTTTTTAAACAAGAAATGTAGACGGAAATCAAAGTGAATAATGGCCTCATTGAGGTATCCATTAGTTGTTCGTTACTTCGTTAAAAGAAAATATGACTCGGAAACAGTTATGAAAAATAGTACACTCCTATTTTTATATTGCAGAAAATTAATGGTTGATGCGCTGTGGCTGTGGGCAAGCGATTGGCGAACAAGATTTTGTTTCTCCAATCTTATCGTGTACAGGGAGAGAGAGAGAGAGAGAGAGATGTTATTGACCTAGCTGCTATCAATTACCTTGATCAGTCTCTTATAAAAATATTTTTGTTTCTTCTTCAGAGATGCATGAAACATGTGATGTTGTTTGTTTGTTGTTATACGTTGTACATATAACTTGTAGCGATAAGTTTATATGCTGGAAAAAAAATTATATGCTGGCGAGTAAGGAGTTCAATGATGTGAAGATAAACTCGTTAGTTAGTGACTTCAATGTTGTCTTTTTTGCTAAAAGACTTCAATGTTGTCCCAACAAGGGAAACATCATACATACTATTGAGCGGCACATCTTGAATCAATTCAACTATATTGTTACCTGTTTGAATCGAGAACATAAGTACAAACAAGAAGAGAACAACGGGTTCTTTTTCTTAAGCACAAGCACACGAAGAATCTTTCTCCCAAAAGAAGACTTCAACGGCCGAATCTTTTTACATATAATTGCATAAACATGCATACGGGATCGTGTGGAAGCGAGGCCCTAACTGTCAGTGGGTCCATCAATGGCATACCTTTCGTAAATAAGTAGAAGTAGTCAGGGTCATAACTGGCACGAACACAATGCATTTTGATTTGATGCAAAAAGGCTTCTCTTCTCTTTCCTTTACATCCCATTTTCTATTTAACCCCCAAACTACACATACTCTCTCCCACTCCCACTCCATTTAGATATTTTTTTGCTAATCAATACAAGTGTGGTTTTTCGCCGGTGGAAATGCAGCTCCTACCGACACTCTGCTTCTTGTTCTTGCAGCTGCTGCCTAGAGGAGGAGACGCATCGGCCTCTCACTCTAATCCCCACAGATCAGCCCCTCATTGGCTCCCCGCCACCGCCACATGGTACGGAAGTCCCGAGGGCGATGGCAGCAGCGGTAACAACCGCTACACCCTCTTCTTTCTTTTACTTGGTTATTTGGCCACAATTTATCTTGATTTTTTTTTTACTGCAACAAATTAAGAGTTTAGGCATTTATTGCAAAACTAAAAACAATATAATAATGAAACTGAAGGAGGAGCATGCGGGTACGGGTCGCTGGTGGACGTGAAGCCGTTCAAGGCTCGTGTTGGAGCAGTGAGTCCGTTGCTGTTCAAGAACGGCGAAGGCTGCGGCGCGTGCTACAAGGTCAGGTGTCTGGACAAGAGCATCTGCTCAAAGAGAGCAGTCACAATCATTGTCACCGACCAGTCACCATCAGGACCATCTGCTCGAGCAAAGCACACTCACTTTGACCTTAGTGGCGCCGCATTTGGACATTTGGCTATCCCCGGCCATTCCGGCATCATCCGCAACCGCGGCCTCATCTCCCTCCTCTACCGCCGGTAACCTCTTTTTCTTCCTTTTTTGTTGGCGCTAAATATAATTTGATCAATGGCTGCTAAATGCTAACGAACAAATGAGTGTGTGTGTATGTATTATTTTATTTTACTTTTACATTGAAAGGAGTAAACAATTAAGTTTAACTTTAACGGCGTTCTGGTTTTCGATGGTCCCATAGTTTGACCGTTGACTATATATGACTTCACAAATCACACACAACATAACTCTCGATGCTCTGACACACACACACTACAATGGTTATCTGTCTGTTATTTTACTTTATAAATAACATATTTACATTGAGCTAAACTAGTTGGTAAAAAAAACAGGACGGCATGCAAATACAGAGAGAAGAACATAGCGTTCCATGTGAACGCGGGATCAACAGCTTATTGGTTATCTCTTCTCATTGAGTATGAAGATGGAGAAGGGGACATTGGCTCTATGCACATTCGTCAAGTATGTATATTCCTTTAATTAGCATTCTTTTTTTTTAAATAATAATAATTCCTTCTTCTTCTTCTTTCCTTATAGTTCGTTTCTTTTTGTAATGCAGGCGGGGTCGAAGGAGTGGATAGCAATGAAGCACATATGGGGAGCAAACTGGTGCATCGTCGGAGGACCACTAAAGGGACCACTCTCCGTTAAGCTCACCACTTTGTCAAATAACAAAACGCTCTCAGCCGCCGACGTCATTCCCAAAAAATGGGTTCCCAAAGCTACTTACACCTCCCGCCTCAACTTCTCCCCTGTCCTCTAACTAAACCGAAGCTCCCCCCATTTCTCTGTCCTCACTTCTTTTTTGTTGGGACAGAAAATCCGGTGAGGATACTGAGTGAGTGAGAGTGAGAGGATGCTCTCCTCCTTCTTCCCTCGTTTTTTGTTTTGTTCTGTTTGGGGTTGTGTTTATGTGTGTTGGTGAGTGAAGCCATGAGAGCTTGATTATGTGACTACTTACTACAGTACTACTTACTACTTACTAATGTTGGATCCAGTCTACTCTATGTAATCTTTTTTTTCCTTAACCATGTAAAAGGCGATGGGAATAAAGTGTATTATTATATCTAGTGTCGTTTGTGGGACATTATTATATAATGAGACAGCCTGCAAATGCATAATAATAGCTACCACAATATCCAAAATCTCATTGCTTTCTCTTCTAACTCTTTCACGGAGTTCACTCCTTCTCCAATGAAAACAACTTGGGGACCCTTTCGATGTAATAATTTCTCAAACGTCTTCATTTCTCTTACGTGGAGGAGGCATTCATTCATTCTTCAACTTGCTCTTTACATACCTTGTCTGGAAACAGACAAAGCAACTAGACCTCACCACCACGTGCATCCCACGCCATTATTTTCCAGACACTCAGGTCAGGAAAAAAAAATGTTAAGATGGTTCACTTGGCACACAATCACTACACTCTCACCATCCAAACTACTGACAGACAACATATGCCCACATCATATGTATGATTCATCCAACAATCTTTAACCGTAATCCTCAAGTCTTGCAAATATAATACGCGGAATCAATATAATTAACTTTAACATCATCCCAGACAATATCCTCATCGCCAAATTATGAAGAACAAATAAATAATGGTAATACAAAATAGAAAACCAAAACAAAAGACTAAGATTATCTGTCTCTCTCCAGAAGAGTATCGTAAGCCACAGAAAGCCTCCTAAACGAAGCTTCTATGTGCACATGTTTACCTTTTCATATTTTCCCCGCATGTAGCTAATTTGACACCAATACCAATGTATCTAATCCCCTAACAGTAATGCTAACAAATCCTATTCCTTCACTCTGCCTTGGCTCCCTCATCCTCAGCGACATGTTTCTCACCCTCCTCTCCCGGGGCAGCAGCAGCAGCAACCTCCGGGTTTAGGACCCTGGATAGCCGTCACAGATGGTTTCTTATCAGGACTTGTTTCCCTCTCTTCTTCCTAACCTCACGCAGGGTAAGCTCTGCAACTGCTTTTTCCAGTAATGCTTATGAAGGAATCGTCCTGTTGGGAGGGAGAATCGGTATGAGCGGGGAAGTCTCCGTCGTCGAAAGAGGCCATGATGGTCAAGGGAGATTTAGCAGAAAGAGAAGAAGAAGCTTACGGAGCCCTGTCGTCCCATCTGATTTTACTTCTTTTTTTTTTTGCATTAGAAAAGGGGCACGTTGGCCAAAACGTGTAACCAACTCACCGAATCTGAAGCGATGCCGTTTTTGCTTTATCCGTCCTTACCTTTGTACTTTGTAGGAAGCTAATCATTTGATTTCGAGCAAACTCCACTCCCTCGAAAGATGGCGGATCGGTTCTTCAACAATCTGATGCCTGACCTTTCGCAAACTGTAGCGGAAGATGGAGATTCCCTCATGAATCTTCTTGCTATGCCCTACTCGTCTCTCTCCCACCACCTCAAACGCTCTGCCTTGGATCTTAAAGAAACTGTAAGCCTCAGTTTTTCTTTCTTTCTTATTATATATATATAGATTCCATTCCATTGGGCCTTTGATCTATGTTTCTCAGGTAGTGATAGAGACTTGGGGTTTCAGTGGTCAGCTTGTTCACGACTTCACTCTTTACTCGGGAACCCTTGGTACTGCCTTTTTGCTCTTTAGAGCTTATCAGGTCACTGCCAACGCCAACGACCTTTCCCTTTGCTTGCAAATCCTTAAAGCTTGTGATGCTGCTTCTGCCTCCTCTCGGTACACCCTCTTTCCTCCTCTCTCTCCCTGTAGCTTAGTGCTTTGAGTTGTTGTTGAGAGTAGTATGAGACTGGTTGGTAGGGATGTAACTTTTATCTGTGGTCGAGCTGGCGTTTGTGCTCTTGGCGCTGCTGCTGCCAAGCGTTCTGGTGACCAAGAGTTGCTCAATTACTATTTGGCACAATTCCATCAGGTTTTGCTTCTCCACTTTGTTCTTCCTCCATTTTTTCCTTTTTACTGAATCGAGACTTTTTTTTAAATAACAGATTAAACTATCTAACGATATTCCTAACGAGCTCTTGTACGGAAGAGTTGGTTATCTATGGGCTTGTCTCTTTCTGAACAAATATGTTGGTGCAGAAACTTTGTCTTCAACTACCATTGTAAGTCAAATCCTCATGACTGATGAATCGCCTTTTTGTCATCACTATAATGACAAAGACTCAGTGTGCAGCGCCAAGTTACTGAGGAGATTATCAAGGAAGGTAGATCAATGGCTAAGAATGGAAGCTCTCCCCTTATGTTTGAATGGTATGGCCAAAGGTACTGGGGCGCAGCACATGGGCTTGCTGGTATTATGCATGTCTTGATGGATGTTCAGCTGAAGCCAGACGAGGCAGAGGATGTGAAGGGTACCCTTAAGTATATGATCAACAATCGGTTTCCAAGTGGAAATTACCCTGCTAGTGAAGAGGATATGAGAAGAGATTTTCTTGTGCATTGGTGTCATGGAGCTCCTGGGATTGCCCTCACGCTTGTTAAGGCAGCTCAGGTGATGATTCCTTTCTCGTTTTATTAATTCTTTCTTAGACATCATTGAGAATATGAAAAACGATACACAGGTTTTTGGGGAGAGAGAGTTCCTGGAGGCTGGTGCAGCTGCAGCAGAGGTGGTTTGGAACCGTGGATTGCTCAAGAAGGTGGGGATATGTCATGGAATCAGTGGAAATGCATATGTTTTTCTCTCCTTATATAGAGCTACGGGAAAGAGCGAGTATCTGCACCGTGCAAAAGCCTTCGCCAGCTTTCTGCTTGACAGAGGCCACAAGCTACTCTCAAAAGGAGAAATGCACGGAGGTGATAGTCCTTATTCCTTGTTTGAAGGCGTTGGAGGGATGGCCTATCTGTTCCTTGACATGGTCGACCCATCTCAGGCCAGGTTCCCGGGTTACGAGCTTTGAAGTTTTAGTTAATGTATCTTTGTTACTTCGAATCCTTTTCCTGTAGTAATAAAGTAGTAAAGCAAAATGTTGTTGTTTTTTGGTGATGAATCAGTCAGAGTTGATATGTCTAGTGAAAGTGTATGGAGATGTCTCTGGAAACTGTTTTTTAATTATATGAATGTTAGGGGGGAGGGTGTGAAACATGAAGTGACCACTAAGGTTCAACCTTTCTATATTGTCTGTGAGTATTTTGCATTGAAAAGAGTCTGTATAAATTCTCTTCGGCCTCTCCTCTTGTTTAACAATCACCTTTTTAATGCAATTTTCATTGATATCTTTTAGTGTTGCTCCAGGTTTACTTCATCTTCTACTTTTGTTTTTTAGAGACACTTGCAAATGTTGTATGCTCAGACAGACTCCAATCAGTTTCTATATGTTGTGAGTGTGATAATTCAAATTCAGTGAAGTATCACTTACGAGAGATATTTGCTTCAAAGTGTATCAGATTCAGTTTAACAGAATAACAACAAACCCTATAATATTGGCGACCAGAGTGGGAGCCAACTCATTTATTCAAAAGTTTGGTTTCTTTTTTTGAAAGTTAAAAAAAAAAAAAATCTTTATAAAGGTTAACAAGCAAAGCTTCTTTCTCTCTCTCTAAGAGTAACAATGAATAGCTCTGAGCATGAAAATGTTTCCCTCAAAAAAAGCAGAGGAAAGTCCCGCGTGATTAGTTCACGTTTCCTCTCTCCGTCTCCATCTTCTTCTCCTATCCGCAGAAACTCCACTTCCAATGCATCGACCAACAACGTCCATCTCGGTCTGAAAAAGCATGATCGGTTGTCAGATGGCACAAGAGTTTGTTTTAGGACCCCAAATCAAAGTCATGGTCCTCAAGTTGACACAAAAGAAAACTGTAAGCCTTCCCCATGGATCGATGATGAGGATAATGTCATACTTCCTGGCAGATTTTCCGTTGACGAATGTGCACTGCACAGAACATCATCATCATCAAGTAGAACCTCATCCTCCTCTCTACTGTATCATAATGGTGAATCTGATTCAGAGTCGAGTGACGTGTCCTTTGCTTCAACTCGGAGCCATAAACCTGGTATCAAAGTCTCTTCTAAATATCTGCATGATGCAAGAGGAGAACGACCCAACAATATGAGGTTACAACAATATCTGAAGAGGACTAACTTAGCGGCTAGGTATGGTGGCGGTTCGATGTCTGCGTGGGCGCTGTCACCAGGAAGATCATTGGACGCAGCTCATCAGGCCTCGAGCATATTTCCAAGTTCGAACCTCAAGCCTCCAAGAGACAAAGGCCTTGGTAAACTACTCAACCTTGGTTTTGATTTCTTCAGGAGCAAGAAGAAGCCTTCTTCACCGTTAAAACCAAAGACAACAGAGGCTGCTCATCAGCTGAAACTTATGAACAATCGGTTGGTTCAGTGGAGGTTTGTCAATGCTAGAGCATCGGCTGCAAACAATAATGTAGCCTCCCGAGCAAATGTAATGTTCTTTCTACTCTCTAACAAATAAATACAGTCATCATCACTTGTACTCATGAAACCTTTGCACAGAAACAATTACTCTGTGCATGGGATGCTCTGACCAAATTACAAAATTTGGTTCTGCAAGAGAGAATTAATCTGCAAAAGAAAAACCTGGAAATGAAGCTGGCTCATGTCCTTCTTTCTCAAGTAAGTCTCAGTTCCAAACCCATTTGTTCATTCTGGTAGTGCCTAACCCGCAGAGAATGTCTTTGCTGGTTTCTTTGAAGTAAGTCTATATATATATGAAATAGGTTAAGCATCTTGAGGAATGGGAGGACATGGGAAGACAACACTTTTCATCTATTTCCATGACCATACAAGTCTTGCAGTCTCTTCTTTCTAGGGTACCCCTAAGGGAAGGTGCAAAGGTAAATTAGATCATGCTCCTCACCTTTTTTGTTTTTTTGTTTTGGCAATAACAAGTAAGGTTTTCAGGTGAACATAGAATCTGCTGTCACTATATTTCAGAGGGGAGAAGCAGTCTCTGATGCTATCATTTCAACTGTGAATCGTTTTGCTCCTACGGTATATTTCGATGCAGTGACATCTAAGTAGGTGGTTTTTAGTAACTTAACGAATTTCCATTTGCAGACAGAGGAAATAGTTCCATTTGCCTCTCAACTTGCTGAAGTGGTGGCAAAACAGAAGCTAATGCTGGAGCAGTGCCATGATCTTTTGAAAGTGACATCTGAGTTAGAGGTACGAATATTTATGTGTGCAAGAAAATCTCTCAGAACACATTTCTTTTCTTCTCTTTCTCTGATCATATACTTTTGGATGCAAGCAGATGCAGGAGAGGAGCTTAAAGTGCTACCTTATGATTCAACACAAAAAGACTTTGTATGGAAAACTTGTTCAAGACTAGGGCTTTGGTTTCCACTGAGTCAAAGCTCATTTTTATCAAGGTTTCTTAGGCTATTTTTGTATTAGTAAAAGTTAGTATTTTGAGAGCATAATAAAGATTAGTCGAACATGATTTTGACAAATAAGGGAAAGAGCTTTTACTGGTTCCAGATTTAGTTAGCGTGATGCCATTTACATATATGTGATACGTGCCTAGCTGATTACAAACATACATGAGACATGGTTTTAACTGAACCAAGGAGGATCTTCTTTGTTTATGATGGAAGCCTCTGGCCGAGAAGGAAGTTTCTCCTAATCAAAACGACGCCATTTCTGGTTTTCATAAAACGTCCTCTTTTCTGTTATAGAATCAGAATCGATCTCTCCTGAAACTCGCGAACCCTAAATCAGAAATCGATGGCGTCGTTGGCTCGCAGAGCAATGAGCCTAACTCAGATTCCATCTGCACGAGTGCCCGCCTCTGTTTGTCAGCGTCGCGGTCTCGCCGGCGCCGCTGGTATATTCTTCTTTTCTCTTCCCATATTTGCTTAGATCGTGTTTTTTGGGTTCGTAATTTCTTTGCACCATAAGATGGTGGAGAAATGTTTGCATTTGATTGATTGTTGAGAATGTTGCAGATCATCATGGATCTACCAAGGTTGACTTCTGGAAACAGCCCACGAATCCAGGAAACTGGAAAGAGGAGCATGTACGTTTCCATATCTCCTCCTCTCTTCTCTTGTCTTGTGTGTGTGTGTTTTTTTATAGATTCTCTCTCTCTGATGAAAAAAACAAATCTCTGCAGTTTGTTCTGATTTCGCTCTCTGGCTGGGGCTTGCTTTTCTACAGTGGTTACAAACTCTTCACCGGTGGTAAAGCAGAGGTATAATTGCTTTCTCTTCTTCCTTTTCAGAAAACGCCTCTACCCCTTCTTACATATGTTTTGTTCATCTTTTGCAGAAGCCTGTCGATGCTCCACAATGAATTTATTACACAAGAGAGCTCTCCTTCTACTGCATTTGCCTTTCTTTGTCTGGTCTTGTATCAAAGCCAGCCATTACTACTTGACAATATCTTTGTTTGCTTTCTTTTAAAATAATATATATGCACCAAACACTTTTTAGATGGTAATCATGTCTCGAATGGATGATCCCTCTGGCTGTTTTGCGTTTCACAATTTCCATATGCTTTGAATTGAAACATATCAAGTTCTTAGCATTGTGATATGCTTTGGATCATTCTAATTGTATGGTCTGGATACGATTTTTTTTTGTTCCTTCCGACCCTTCCCCTCTAAGTAGATTACAAATCATTTCCTTGGTCAACATTTGTCATTAACAGTTTGACTGATCCAAATGTTGCTTGTTCGTGGCAAATAGATAGATCTTGAGAGGACGAAACATCCTCTTCAACGTTCTCAGCTTGCGTCTTGTTTAGTTTCGTGTTATCCATCTTTGGACTTGTGTATATTTGGTGGAGTTGCTATTAGATTAAAGAGGCATGTTCTCCTAGTGTTACTAGACTTGCTTTCAAAGCACAACTTTTATAGTTTATTTTTGGATTCTGATCCAGTCACCACAAATCAAAAAGCTATAATTATAAGGCGAATCCAGCAGCCATCATACAAGAATTGCAGACAAATTTAAAGTAAAAAAGTTAGAGAAATAAAGTCAAATGGGTTTGGTGTTGGTGGTGAAGTCGAGGCAAGTCTGGCAGTTACAATCAGAGAAACGACAGAGGTTGCAGCCGAAGCAGACGCAAGAAGTGCAGCCTTTGCAAGACGGAGAACGAGTGCAACCTCTGTAAACTTTCCTGCTCACTCTCTCTTCCTCCTCCTCACATGTTATCCTGCATGCACAACCACCATTCCAAACGGATTCAATTAGTAGTGATTCTCTATTGTACATATCATAAGAAGTAACTATAAACAACAAATGTCCCACTTGTGGTATGGGTAATCGCAGCATTTCCAATTGGGCTCAGCCAAGGCATCATGGTGCTCCCTGCACTCCCCTCTGCTCCTCAACCTGAACCTCCTCTCCTTGCCACACCTGCTGCATCCAACAAACTCATCTCGATGAATAACTTTGGATCCGTTGGAGTTATTAGTCTTCAATGTTTGGTTGTAATATCTGAGCAGCACTGTCTTTGAAAGCGGAACTTTGTCTCCCTCAATGAACACCCACACGTTGTTCCTCCAGTTTCTAGAGGTTTCTCTCTCAGAATGCTTCTCAAAGGCAGCAGGCGATAACTTGTCTACGATGATCAATCATAAAATCAAACTAAAAGGTTCAGAGCATTAACTCATGGAAATATATGTTAATAAACTGGCGATACCACGCGTGTTCACATGTAACATGCATTAAGCTAATAAAAGGAGAAGAGACCTTCATGGCAAGCAGGAGTGCATTGGCAAGTGATTTGGAGGTCTCCATCTGAGAAAACCCTAAGCCTAGCAATGGCGTCTCCGTAACGGTGGCTCGTGCAGCCACACATCACCTCCACGTAATCATCTCCAACAATGACCCCACTAATCTCTTGCAGCTCCTCTTCGCTGAACAAGGTCTTCTTCGACCCGCATTCTCTCTCCATCCCCCGATCTACGATCTCCTATACTAAAAGTATCGTAGTATTGTGAGAGTTATAGACGAATGATGATAGTACATATTTATATAGGATGTTAAGAGCCATGACTCTCTAGGGTCAAAAAGGTAATTCGACATATGAGTAGACGAGAGGAAAAAAAGGGCCTAAAAGGAGGTTAGCATGGATCTGAATTTTCATATCCAAATATCTCCAAAAGGTTTCATGCAATACAGCTTTTGCCTTTTGGAGTAAAACAAAAAGAGAGAGACTTTGGAGGTCCTTTGAATTAGGTTTTAGAGGGCTTTGAAAGAAATAAACTCTCTAATACAGACAGACGCAGATGATGGGATTGTGTTGGCGGATGCGAATTAGGTGGCCAAAGTAAAAAACAAGAGAGCCGTGAGGCATGAAAATTGTGATTCTTCTTTTGTTTTTCATTAAATTAATTACTATTTAAATTTTATCTTCTTTCAATTTTTGGATTTAAATAACATATCTATACACATATGTAACGTACATGCTTAGATGTGTTGTACTCTCTAATCTTATTGATTGTCAGGTAATTTGTTTGTCTGCAGAACAGAGAAGGCTGTTTTCTCAACCCACAGATTTATTTTATAATTAAACGCTTCTCTAATTGCAATTTCACCCAGATAATAAGTATAAAAAGTTACTAGTTAAGTTGTTACCTCTGTTCTTTCTGACTTCTGAGCTCTCTTATGTAAAGTGTTTTTTTTTTTGTTCTTTCAATTGGCTATATATTTGTGTCCCAGTTTTCCAATGTGCCCATCTTTATATGTTACATACATATATGTATTTAATGCTCAGGACTAAGTTGGCATATATACAAAGAGACTTATTAGGAAATCTCATTTATTGGAATTAGGAACTTGGTAATGTTTCCAAATTAAGAAACAGAGTTTGTGGACTAAAGTATCTCATGCAATGCTTTTAGACCTCTTTCGTCTTTGGAACCTACTAAGTTGAGCCTGGCTTAACATTGAAACCCACGTTTGATGATTTCCAATGTCAATGAAAGTTGTTGTAACTGTTGAATTTTACAGCTGGTCCAACTTTAAATGTGTCGTTGTCAAATGTTATTATGTCTGTATAGGCATGTTATGCTAGCTACATCATGAGTTGGCCTTACCGCCTCCATCGTATGTAACGTGAGTTATTATTGCAAAGCCAACAAAAGAATTCTTGTTAGTTACGAGCCGCACCAAACTCCACCTCATCCACGTTTTTTTCTTCTATAGACCTTTGACTCTTCATTTCTATCTACGACTCAATCTACATATTTAAAGAGGTTATACTTAAATGTAAAAATGTATTTTCCTTTTCAAAAATCATGAAATGATGATATAGACCACAACTTATAGATACGGATTTGAAGGACAGAGATCTCAACTTTAGACATCACCCATTTGTTCAATGACTTGCATGCATTGCCAATTTGCTATACACTTTGGAAACACTCAATAGGTACAAATCGCCGGAGATAAGCTTTTAAGAACGATAAGGGAGGCAGAGGGCAGGGCATCCCTCGCACAATCATATCGTTTTGAGACAAAACACCAATGATGGGATTTGATCTTTTTGTCTCTTAACATATGAACTAATATCATATTCTATCCTTTCATTTATTTTAATCTCCGCTAATATCAATCTAGAATCGTGATAATAACAATACAGAAAACACAGAACTGCAAAAAAAGAAGAAGAAGAACATCATATTGTTTTTTGACTTTATGGTCAAGTGTGTCAAGCTACTTAAAAGGGCCATGTATTCGAACCCGTGACACTATTTTTTCTTTACTTTAAAATTTCTTATTTTAAACACAAACAATTTATTGACAAAAAAAAAAACACAAACAATTTATGTATGATGTGATTTTTTGATGAGCAAGTCTTTGTAGCGTTGAGTGATCTGGTCGGCTATATAGTACAAGCAGACCTTCCTCTCTGCCAAGCCTCTCGATCAATCCTTGAACTTCATCTCTTGGCTTGGATTCAACAAGTTACAGGCAACCTCTATGACTCCCGCCCCGTCCACACTAGAGCCATTGTCTGCACCGAAGCAAAGCCCCCTCCTCTCTCGCTTGCCTTCCTCGCCATTCTCCTTACTGCCTTGAGATCAGTTGACATGACTGGCACGTCGTAGTTACTGACCCACCCGAACGCCCCAACCGCTACAACCCCTTTGTCTTTGCTCACCTCCACTGGGGCCTTGCGTCTGGCTTCACAGGCAACACCTCCAGCTCCATTCATGTCCCTCTCTATTGGTCTTGAAGTACCCCAGCTTCCTTCTGATGGAATCCAGCGTGCACTGCTCCATTATGTAGGAACTGCACCAAGGCTATCTCCAAATTTTCAGCAATGATCAAAAAAATTACAAAACAACTCCAGCTACAAGCTAAGAATTGTGCTGCCTTTTACTAAGCTTGATAGCTATCTTTTTTATATTTGAATTTTTTTTTCTTTTCAAAACAGTCCACAACTGAGATCCTCTATCAAAAGCAAGCACTAACCCTTGAGAATGGAGCTGATATCCCTTGCCAAGGAAGTCGCAACTGCTGAAACTTGGTCAGTGGAAGTTTGAGACAAAGGGTGAAAGCCTATATATGTGGTCGACCACTCCAAGCCGTGGATGGGATCCAGAATGCAACTCGAGGTTGATAGTATGAACTATGAAGGACAGTCTTGACCATAGCGAAGACAGCGTTCTTCAGGGGAGAAGATGATGATGATGATGACCCCTCTCCTCGTGTGCTAGGGTCGAAACAAAAGTATGACCAACCCTGCCATAAGCAGCGTTTTCAAACTTGTTGACGATTGTGGCTGGTGGAAAAGGCTTTGCAGCTCTCTCAATGGCCGTCTCATTGCATGCTTCAGAAATGTAAACCTTGCAGCAAGCAAGCAGTTCTCTCCTCATCATATTCCCCAAAACACTAATAAATAAATATGCGTTGGTTACTAACTGCTACTACTACATGTCCATGCTGTCTAAAGTAGAGAAAAAGAAGCTGCAATATTATGCACCACTCTTAAATATGTGGCCAGCATTCACACATGTCCTGGAAAAAAAAGGATAAACCAATACAAAGCAAAGCTAATATTGCTTATGTGTCTGATGAAAAAAAAACAAAAACTTATACAAATACAATACATAGATCAGACGAGACTCATGTGTTTGTTTAGAAATCGAGATTGGAAGAAGGGTTTGGGTATCCCTTGTACACCAATTGTTTCTTGGATATGCCTAAAGATGCGCAAATGATGTTGAATTTGACCCTGAGTTCATCCTTGATCTCGTCTTTGGTCTCGTCCTCGGGATCCAAGAGCGGGAACTTATCGAGCAAGCCTTGGAACTCATGGAGATGCTTTTGGAGCTGAGAAGAGAATTGAGCAAGGAGAGCAGGAGAGTTCCAGAGGGAAGAGCAGCCTTTGTAGAAACCGATCAGCTCGCCTGTCTCGAACCCAAGTTTCAAACCCAAATGACGAGCGTCTTCCCGACCTGACACAAGACCCGCTTCGTAACCCTCTTCGAAGCCTTGCTGTATGTGTGTTTCCTCTAGTCGCAATATACAATCGAAGATGTCTTCCTTCACTTCCGAATTCATCATTTGCTTTGGCAAAAAAAGACAAAAACGTAAAATCAAAAGAGGAACGAACGAGAGTCAAACACAAAACTTACCAACTGATGAAAAGATAGATCGCAGCAGCAGAATCGGACAGGAGGTTTCAAATTTGTTTAGGAGGAGATTCCTTTTGGGTTTGTAAATAAGCGGCCCAACATATCACTGGGCCTTCCTCAGATGTGTTCTCTTTGACAGAGAGAGCATTCAATAGGTGAAAGCTGTAAAGCAATTGGACGGTGGTCTGTTTTGATCCCTATATTCATTGCTTCATTCCATCATGTCATGTGCCTTTCTTATTCTTCTATTAACTTTTCTTACCAAACTCTTGTGCTTTTGCTATTCAGTTTAGGACAAGCAAAACCAGAATTAATGCGTATGCCATCATCCATCTCAAAATCTTTATAGAATATTAGTCTTAAAAAGAGCTGAATAACAAATAAGGGTCTATAGAAGAGAACTAGGCAAACAAGCTATATACAATGGCAAGTAGCTTGATTCGTTACGACCAACAAATTTGAATTAAAAAACAAAAACAGAAACAAGATGAAGAAGACGTTGGGGACTTGGTTGGTTCATAAATCATCGCTCTCATTAGTGGTAAGATTTGAGGACGGCGCCACAGAAGTGACAGACGATGGCCTTCCATGCTTTGCGGTAAAAAGGGACCCCACAGAATCTAGTAGATGTTTTCATGTCCGCCACCACTGCTCCTCCTCCGCATCTTGAGCATAAACCGGCGGCCGGCTTTCTCCCCCGGACTTGCTTTCTCTGATCGACAAGGAAACAGAAGATGGCCATATCCTATTCTTCTTCGCTCTCACTCCAGATATATAGATGAATAAATGTTTGTGTGTTAAGACTTGTTCAGGTCTTCAAGTTGAAGGGGGAGGGTAACTGAGGTCTTGTTCGTTTCGTGAATTGGATGAGAATTCCAGACGCAGCATCCACGCGCAGTAATTGGATGCAGCATTCAGATATTGTTCGTTCGCGATTCTGGAAATTTTGGATCATGCATCTGGAAATTATATCTGGATGCAATTATGTTCGTTTTGTATTCTTTATTTTGTATCTGGATGAGTTTTATGTCAAATGACCAAAAACTCCTTATCTTCTCTTTTGGTCTAAACATGTATATAATTATATCCAAAAATTCAATTTTAATGTTTTAACTTGTAAAAAATTACGTTAAACTACAAATAAAATAGTCATAAATAAAAATAAATATTAAATTCAATTTTTCATGTTTTCTAACATTATAAAGTAACAATAATAAACATTAAACTCAAAGTATTGAAATAACAAAATAAAAACTCAAAGTCTTGATTCAAAACACAAAAACTAAAACACTCAAACCTGAAACACTCAAACCTGAAACATAAACCCTTGACATAAACCCTTGACATAATCTTCAGATGTCTTGAATACTCAAACCTGAAAAATATAGTAAACATATAGTAAGATATACACAAAATACTATCTCAAGCAACCCAAGAGCAATAACCACAGTTACACAATGCTGAAGCTGCAATATATCTTTCCTAAACCTCAAATAAAAGAACCAAACCACACTAAGCAACACATAAGCAAACGCCATATACACATAGAACTTCACCAACACATAAGCAAACGAAATGTGTCACTTTCAGTCACTTTCACATACTAGAACACATCCTTCTTTACAAGTTTTACATAATGATCAGACCTTAACCGGTTTAATATAACCGTCTGAAACATCAAACCATTAAATCAGACCCAGTAGTAAACATTAAACCATTAAATCAGACCAAGTAGGACTCTAACTATTAATAATCCGTGAATACAGGGTCTTTTGTGTAAATACTTTAAAAACTCAAAAACTGGTTTTGGATAATGCTTAAACTAACGAGAGGTGGTTACTCTGTGCACATATAAACTTAAATTCTCTGTGATAGCAAATTTAAAAGTTTTAACAGACGCATTATCTTGTTCAGGACCACAAAATAAACTGTAATTTAAGCAACGGGAAAACAGAAGATCTGAGTGATCTATAACTCTCAAATTTTCAGTTTATTCAGTGACCCATCGCAGCAAGGGATATCCATTAATCAATCTCGGTTTCAGAAGTTTAAACACCAGAAAAACGGTTCAGGAAAACACAAACTGATGAATCAAAACAACGACAACCATGAGAAACCACAACAACGACAAGTAGTAGATAAAAGACACAAATCTCCACCATGAGAAACTTCACAAGCTTAAAAGACTCAAATCAAGTTAGCTCTTTTATTACTGTTACAACCTTAAACTACTCTCAAGCTTAAACTTCCCATCGTTGCTTTCTGATAAAATTAAACTAACAAACGAAGCTTAAAATTAAATAAAACTACACATTTAAAACTACACAAATCTCCACCATGAGAAACTTCACAAGCTTAAATTTAAACTACTCTCAAGCTTAAACTTCCCAGCTCTTTACTGTTTTTGGCTTATTGAAGCAAGTTAACACAAAGAGTAGACATAAAATCTCAGTATCCCAATCTGATAAAATTAAACTAACAAACCAACACACAAGAGGCCAACACAAAGCAACTCTCACATAACATTTCACAAAGCTCAACACAATACAGCTTTACTTTTCACAAAGCTCAACACAATACAACACAATGAAGCATAAATTAAGAGGAAGCTTACCAGAACAGAGACAGCTCGAGAGAAAGCTTGAAAGCTTGAAACTTGATGCTAAGAAAAACAAAACAAATGAGATCTCCAAAAGGGTATCTAAGTTACAGATTAAATGTGACAAAAACAACACAAAAGCTTACCAATAGAGCGTGAGAGAGGGAGAGACTGCGAGAGAGAAAGAGAGACTGCGAGAAAGAGAGAGACTGGGAGAGAGAGAGAGGAGTGCGAGAGAGAGAGGAGTGCGAGAGAGAGAGGAGTACGACAGAGATTTAGGGTTCTGGGATCAATATGAGAAAATTCCAGAGAGTTTTCATGGAGATTCGAGAGGTTGAAGAGAGATTGAAGAGAGGAGTCAGATTTGTTTGACGGCACAAAAATTAGGTTTAGAAATCAAAGGGTAATTTTTAGAATAAAGTAAGGGTATTATCGACTTTTAATACTTTTGGATGAGTTTACTGCAGCTGGAAGCGTTGTAAAATCTCATCCAGAATTTCCGAAAAACCCGGATGAGTTGTGGAAAAATATCTGGATGCTGCATCCAACTTAACCTCCTATTTCGCACCAAACGAACATCGGCCCGCGTCTGCGTCTGGATGCCGCATCCAGTTCACGAAACGAACAGGACCTGACTTAAATAGAGCATTTTTGCGAGTTCCCTCAGCCACTTGGACTCAATCCCCTCGTGTCACTTACAAATACAGTTGTCTCGCTGACTTCCCTTGCTCTCGCTGACTTTATTTTTATTTCCCACATTTCAAAACTTGCATTGAATTAATCAACACTTGTGCAACAATGTATCAACTGCCTCCTTATTAGTAGGGCTGGGCACAAATACCCGTTACTCGCCTTATACTCGTTACTCGCCCCGTACTTGACTCGGTTTTTCAAGTACTCGTTGTTATCAAGTCGAGTATCAAGTATTAGAAATTAGATACTTGCAAGTACAATGCAAGTAACAAGTATGAAAAAAAATAACTATTCGCCTTGATATTATTCGTTACTTGGTTAAAGAAGATGTTTTTGTTATTATGAGAAGTAAATAATGTTCCTATACAGAGATATATGTTTTTTCTTGGTTCTTCTTTTTTTATAACATGTACAAATATTTTGTTTATTATAATTTTTTTTATGTTTTAAGTAGAATAAACAAAATAAACTTCTATGTGCATATTTAGTAAATAATTATTGAGAAAATAATTCTTTAAATACTCGTAGTTATATATGTAATTCACAAGTACTCACATATAACTCACAAGTATTTGCAAATAGGAAGTAATAAATCAAGGTAAGTAACTTGCAAGTAATTCATTCTTCAGTAAGTACTCGGAAAACAAGTACTCGTTTTTAACAAGGCAAGTACGAGCCGAAATTTTCATTACTCGAATAAAGCAAGTTAAGTATCAAATATCGCTATAAATTTTCATTACTCGAATAAAGCAAGTTAAGTATCAAATATCGCTAAAATAGCAAGTACCCGCCTTGTACCCACCCCCTACTTATTACCACACTCACAACTGCCTGACTATTTAACACGATACCAGAAAGCCAGAGAAAGCCCATCCCCCATTTCCTATACCCATAGACTTTTCTCATTTAACATTTATTATTTTGCACCGAAATGATATGATAATTTCTCGTTGTAAGGTTACCCATTGCGGGATATATCCAAACATTGCGTATTTATGAAATAAGAATTTTGGGGATTTTTAAAATTTAAGTAATCAAAATATGATTAAAAGGAAATCAAAAGTTTTGTTACTCTTAGTTAAATAGAGTAAAAAATAGGACTGAAAGGAAAAGATCTGTTTGTATGTTATCTTCAGGGTTACGACTCAAGGGTGTGTGTGTGGTCAAAGAGCTGCCATCATTGCTCGTCTTGTTGCCTCCTGCTTCATCTCTGCAGCTTTACCACTCCCCCTGAAGTACATGTACACTTGCTGTTCCCACAATACAAACAAGTTTAGTGCTTCCTTCCTTCTTTTGTTTTTGCATTTTACTTATCCAAAGATAATTAATTAATTGATTTAGGAGAGAGGGAGGCAACCTGAATAACCCAGATGCTCACGAGTGACTCAAGGCAGAAGAATCCAAACCCAATGAAGTAGAATATCTGCCACCGAAACTCAAAAGTAGTCAACTACATCAGTTTTAAAGATTTTTGGCATTATATCTAATGCTTTCAACTTACTCCAACCAATATGTTCCCGCTCAACACGTCAATCGCCGGCAATATTCCCCTACATAACACATCAATCATAGTTCCAATTCAGTTTACTGTTACCTCTTTCTTTCCTCTGTGTTTAGAAACTACTTACGTCAGGGATTTCCCCTTGAAGATGATTGGAGGAGCCACCGCGGCGAATACACAAAACCCTATGTGAAACTGCATTTTTTATTTCAAGTCTTTTTACTATCATTTACTTTGGATGTGTCCAAACTACCCAAAAAGGTATTCACTAAAATCGAATGAAAAACTCACCAGATACGTGAAGAAAAACCACCCAAACTTCAGAGCACTATCAGTCCTGCACACAACCAATGCAAGTTTTAAAAGTTGCTATCCCTTACTCTTTACTAACATGCTATCTGGTAGTTTTTTTTCTCTTTGTAAATGAAGGAACATACACACACAGCAGCAGCAGTAGATAGAGTACAGTATTCTAAAAGAATAATCTTAAGTGGCATGGATACCTCATGGCACGGTAAAGAGGTCGATACCACAAGACATATGCCCCAGGAACCCCTGATATGAAATAGATTATAGCAAGAAACCATATCGTTGGACCTACACCCAAAAGAAAAACGAGTCAGCAGATCAGATCAGCATCAATACAAGTTTGATCAATCTGCTAGGCAACTGTTCTAAGACTAACCTTCTCCCTTAATCCACGCGGTGGTGACAGCAACAATGTTCCATAAGAGGCACCCCACAAGACCTGTCAAAGAGAGGTAGAAAATAAGAATTCAACAAGTCTTTTCCAATAATGGCAGATGGTGAGAAGACATACCCAGAAACGATGTGAATGCGACATATTGGATTCTCTGGAGATGGATGGGAATCTCATTAGAAATGTCATGATGGATGAGAGGAAAAACCGGTGGCCAGTTTTTCTCTTCTATCACAATCCCGGCTACCAAAAAGAAGACGACAACATGAGCGTGAAGTGGAACAAAATGCCAGGTTCCTAAAAAGATAGATAAAACTGACCCTGTGCTATAGCATCCTCTTTCCGCTTGAGCTCCTGAACACCAAAGATTTTTTTTTAAAAGCCGTTACTTGAAAGGTTGTAGCTGTAAACCATTCTGGTTAAAAGCCAAATCCAAATCACTAATTGATTACCTGCTCCCGTCTCTTCAATTCAGTTTCTTTGGCCTGGAGTTCCTTCTCCTTAGCTTTCAGATCCTACAAGTTTTTAGTTCTGTCTCAGAGATTATTTGTGAGCATATAATAATCTGAGAGTAGAAAAATACATACATACCTTCCCAGAGTCTAGAGGTATATCAGTTGTGGCACCACCACGGTTATACTGTGGCGCTGCAGCTGGAACAGTTGAAGGATTCTGAAATTCGAATACAGAGAGTTAATAGGAAAACCACATGGGTCAATGATGGAGATGTATGAATATGGTTACAGCGATACAAGACAAGGAAAACTGAAAAACAAAAAAAATTGAATCACGCAACTGAGTCAAGTAGATTCTCATCCACATTATAAAGCAGTGAGAGATCAAATTCTTAAGTCTTAACCAAATTCTACCTCACAGTTGGCACGCATTGAAAAATAAGATGTCATTTGTTTGTTACACGTATTGTAGAATGATCGGATTAGCCGAGCAACCATATATGAAGATCCGAACAAACACAAGACACCGCAATAGAAAAAAAAAAGAAATCAATCGGTTCCGGATTCCTTGTGGATCCCAGAAATTGGAGTAAATCACTAACATTACGACTCCTATCAAAGATCGTGTGTAATACAAAGCACCCTTGCATCTAAGAAACCAAAGATAGATCTAACAAGGCAGATCTAACATTGCAATTCCACACGACTAACTTTTTTTATAAAAGGGAATCTAGTTGAGGAGACAGAATCATCAAATTACCGCAAACGGATTAACCTCGCCGTCGTCAAAGGAAGGAGACTCGTAGCGAGACATTTGCACCACCCTACTCAGCAGATCCAATCTAATCTACTAGAGACGATTTGGAAGAGTAATGCTTTTCCTTTTCAGTTTCTTCTCTCCTAAGTGTGTTAAGGACGTGTTTGGCGCGTCGAGGAAAGGGTAAGTCTCGCTCCCAAACCGGTTTCCTAAACCAGATATAACCAAACGTTACTGAAGAAAATTCATTGCTTAAGATATTTCATAATTGGATTCAGAACAAATATATATATATTGTCCAAAAAACAAATCTCTTTTTTTTTAAAAAAAAAAACTAGGTGGCTTCCTGCACCATGTGCAGAAATAAATTTTTAAAAATAGATTTATATTTAAAAATAAAATTTAACTAATTTTTAAATTTATTATTTTATTACATTATTAATTTTATATTAATTATATGTAAAAATTAAGAGAAAATAAACAGTTTTATTTAAATATATGACAATTCTCTCAAATAGAACTTTTTTAGGTTTTTTCACAAAAATAGATCTTAAAACTAAAATGACCAAAACATCATTTTTTATTTTGAAAATTTCAACTTTAAAAAAAAAAAATTGTAATCCTATCCCAAAACCCCACTCCTCAACTTTAAACAAAAAAGGTTTACGATTAGTTAACCCAAAGGATATAAGTATATATTTACTTATTTTTGATAAACCATTTAAGTCTATCTTGATCATTTTTATTTTAAGGTCTATATTTGTGATTAAAACTTTTTTTTAAGTCTATCTTAAAAAAAAATTCTTAAATTTATATTTAATAATATATATGTATCTTTTATCTTTTGGTTAAATTATATTAAATCAGATTCTATTGTATTAAGAGAAAATTTTGTTAGATATATAATTTTCAAAATATAAAACTAAATAATATTTCTAAAATTTATAGATGTTATAAATAAAGCTAATGGTATTGGGATTAGAAAATTTTAATTTTTAAAAATACTGCATAAAATTTTGAAAAAAAAATTCATTAATAAAAAATATATAATTAAAAAAATACACTTAAAAATATTTCAATATTTGTAATATTATTATATTTATATTTCTACTATTATATTATTTATTATCTTAATGATAATTTATTAGTTTTTTTTCTTATCACTATTTTAATACATTTTTTTGTTTAATCAAACATAAAAAGTAATATAAAAATATTTTTCTTTATTTTAAATTAGATTTAAGAATATGCATGTATATACTTAAAATTATAATCTTAGATAATTTTTTATCTATTTATTTTAATTAAATATATTAAATCAATTTGTAGAAAATTTTATAATTATCAAAAATTAAAATTAGACAATATTTATTAAATTTTTAAATAAAGAAATTAATAATTTTAGAATTAAATTTTAATAATTTTCAAAAATGTAAAATTTTTTGAAATTTTTGTAATAAAATTGTATACTTTTAAAATATATAATTAAAAGATATTTTCGAAATTTTTAATGCCATATTGGTATATATTTATTTTAATGATGATTTATTAGTTATTACCATATTTTAAAAATATTTCCAAAAATATAAATCGACATTAAATGTAATATATGAGTTGTTACCATATTTTATAAAGTTTTCCAAAAATATATATTAACATTAAATGCAATTGTCCATGTCATATTTAATCATATGCCATGTCATCAATTCTAGTAGACATGTCACCATTTTTTTGTGAAACTGATTTTAGAGAGGACATGTGGCAAAATCACTTTACAAATAATATATAGGGGATGGGACACATATATTGTCCAAAAAACAAAGAATGAAACATTCAGAACTTAGATTTGTCTTAATATAATTTTTAGAAGATTATTTAGAAAACTAAGATTTTGGATCCAATTGATAATGATTGTTGTTTTAAAAAAATTATAGATTTTTTGCTATAATTTGAGATTTTATTTCTGTAAAATTATTTTTGTAGATATTTAATTTTACAAAACACATGTATCTTTATAGGTTATTTCAAGAACTATGATTTTTTTAAAAAATGAATAAAATTTGATTGCTTTGAATTTGATATTGCAGAAATAAATAGGATTATAGATAGCATATATATCAATGACCAATCACACCACACCCTTCAATTCCTGTATAAGTACCATACTACTTTTACAATTAACTAAATAATATGAATTATAAATAATAATTTTTATAATTGATTTAATATTAAAAGAATAAAAAAGTAAAAAAAAGAGAGACGATGTTCACATAAATCCGAGTTCTTCTGTGTAACTTTATTATAATAAAAATATATACATATTTGATTGAGAAATTTTCTAGGATAGACCTAAAAAAGTTTTTATCACTAATATAAATTTTAAAAATAAAAATGATAAAAATAGATTTAAATATTTTATAAAAAATAAATAAATATACACTTATACTTTTGGATTAAATAATTTTAGATTTTTTTTTTGTTTAGAGTTGAGGAGTGGATTTTGGAGGTAAGATTTCCAATTTTTTTTTAAAAAAAAACTTAAAATTTTCAAAATAAAAATACTATTTTAGTCATTTTAGTTTTTAAGATCTATTTTATGATAAAAAATTAAAAAGATCTATTTGAGAGATTTGTCCTATTTTATTCTCAAAACAACATATATTAAATTGTACATAATCTTATTAAATCTATTTACAAATTTAAGACAAGAATAAATTAAAATGCAAATGAAAAAATGAATCATTAGAACAAAATTATGGGCGATCGAGAGTATGAGGAATTTGCGTCAATTTCACGTAACATTTGCAACAAATTGTGCTCAACTGGTGAAGATGGTGTCTGAACCAGATGAATGACCAGCATTTTCAAATTACTTGGAAGATATCAAGACGCTACAAAGGAGTTTTCACAGCTCGACAATCGTCTATGTATCAAGGACATTGAATTCACAGACGGATAGTCTAGCAAGCAGTGTGAGAAAACAATCGTCTTTCGTTGTTCACATGGATATAGAGCTACCAGTTTGGTTCGCAGAGTTTATATGAGTATGTTATTTTCGATGTCAAAAAAAAAGAACAAAATTATTCTGGTTGAACTAGAAAATAGATGTTTATATTATATATCCAAATAATATATCTAATTACAATAACATAATATTATTTAAATAAATTATTATAGCAATTGCAAAACAATTTAAAGTTAAAATAATATATTAATAAATTATGATAATGTATGTACTATGTAAATTTTTATATCTGTGCATATGAACCGGGAAAATCACAAATAAACTGTGATTAGAAACCAAGTTCTGAAGGTCTTTGTTGCGGTTAAAAAACATCAAGACGTTTACATGTTTTGTTGTAAACATGCATGACGGTTCAATGGCATAAAAGACGGCACGTAGTCGTAGAAGGCGAAGTAAAAACTGAGGGAGTGGGAGAGGGTCAAGACTGATAACCGAATCGAAGGGCCATCATAGATTTGTCACTAGGCGCTTTTCCCGTTCCCTCTTTGCCAAGGCTCTAAAGCAAATCCATATTTTTCCGGCGAGAAATTTGGCACTGTCTCTCCAAGGTAAATATCTGCTTCGAATTTTTGGAATCGTTGAAAACAATCTGACTTGATTTTGGTTTTTTAAGTTGTTGACTTTATTGAGAAGAGATTATAATTTTGTTAGTGCAGAAAGATCAATGGGGGGAGTTAGGTTATCGCTTCTCAAGTCAATGTACAGATCTTCAACAAGAACCTCCTCCTCCTCGTTGTCTTCTTGTAAAACTCTCTCAAGCAGACCTTTCTCGAGACTAGCTGAATATGCTGCTAATGATGTGAGACCAGTAAAGCCATCCCCTTTCAGTCATGCTAGGGCCATTGGTTCCGGATACCCTCTTTATGGGTCTTCTTACTCCACCCCTTTATTTGCACGAGCTTTCAGCTCTGGCACTGGTGATGGCGATTGGGTTCACAAGGCCAAGGATGTGTTGCATTCTGGTGTTACTAAGGCTAAAGAAGTCTCTGACGAGCTCACTCCTCATTTTCAACAATTAATTGACTCCAACCCTTATCTTAAAGATGTCATGGTCCCTGTCTCTCTCACCATGACTGGTACTTTGTTCGCTTGGGTTGTCATGCCTACCGTTTTCAGGAGGTTTCACAGATATTCTATCCACAGCTCTTCTGCTTTGCTTCCACAAGGCTTCTCTATTGATGATCTTCCCTACGAGAAAAGCTTTTGGGGTGCTTTGGAGGATCCTGCTCGCTACTTAATCACCTTCACTGCTTTTGCACAAATGTTAGTCAGCTTTTTTAAACTTTTCAGCATTAATTATGAATATTATATCTAAATGATTTGATGTAATTCTGCTGCAGTGCGTCAATGGTGGCCCCAACAACAGTAGCAGCTCAGTATTTTTTCCCGGCATTGAAGGGGGCAGTCATCCTCTCTTTGGTCTGGTTCCTACATCGCTGGAAAACCAACGTGATTTCTAGAGTCTTGTCTGCTAAGAGTGTTGCTGGGCTTGACAGGGAGAAGATATTGACTTTGGACAAAGTATCATCTGTTGGTCTCTTTGCAATCGGTTTAATGGCTTCTGCTGAAGCTTGTGGGGTAGCTGTTCAGTCTATCTTGACTGTTGGTGGAGTTGGAGGTCTGTGTATTTTGTTTTGCTCTCAATCTATAATTATTCTCTTCTACTCATAACTCATCACTTGTTTTGCAGGAGTGGCCACTGCTTTTGCTGCAAGAGATATCCTTGGGAATGTGCTAAGTGGTCTGTCCATGCAATTCTCAAGGCCTTTCTCCATGGGAGATACGATTAAAGTTAGTTGAGCAAGAGAAATCTTTTGTGTCTCTTGTTTTCATGTCTTACTTGTCCTTATGTTTTTATAGGCTGGATCAGTAGAAGGCCAAGTGGTTGAGATGGGGCTTACAACAACATCCTTGTTGAACGCCGAAAAATTTCCAGTCTTGGTACCTAATTCCTTGTTTTCCAGTCAGGTTAGTTTTATTTGTTTCGCATCATATATCTTTGATGTAGGAGAAGCTTTTATGCTCTCGCTTTCAGAATTATTTCATACTCAATGGCGCAACCATTTATTACATTGTTATGGAGAAAAATGCGAATTGCCCTGAAGTAGAATTAACACATATATATACAGGTGATTGTGAACAAGTCACGAGCTCAGTGGCGTGCGATAGCATCCAAGATCCCACTGCAGATAGATGACTTGGATAAGATCCCTGAAATATCAGAAGAGATAAAGGAAACGTTGAGGTCAAACCCAAAAGTATTCTTAGGGAAAGAAGCTCCTCATTGTTACTTATCCCGAGTGGAAAAATCATTTGCTGAACTCTCCATTGGATGCAATCTTAAATACATGGTACCGTCTCTCTCTCTTTACTCTTTGTAACATTTGCTTGTCATAGAAAAAAGGATTTAATTATTTTACTGGTGGTGTCTCAGGGGAAAGAGGAGCTTTATGCAACACAACAAGAAGTTCTTCTTGAGTCGGTCAAGATTATAAAGAAGCATGGTGCGTCATTGGGTACCACCTGGGACAATTCTACAACAGCTTGAGTGATCATCTGGTAAAGACGAAAGGAAAAATGCTGATCAAACATGGGTTCTTTTGGATCATTACAGGAAAAATACGTATTTGCCTTTTTGACTGTAGAGAGGGTTACAAAAATATTTGTGTAAAGGAAAAAAAACCCAAAGCAACCTGTTTTCGAGCTGAGGATTTGTTTTTGTTTTTAAATCACAATCTTTTTAAGCCACACCGACACGTATGAGAAATTTGGAAGCTTTGTTTTTTTAAAGAAAAAGTCTTTTGTGTGTATACGTTTACAAAGCAGATGATCCTTTCTTACAGAGATAGTATGCCAAGTCTTACTATTATCTCTTTTTGTATAACCAATGGACAAACTAGGAATACAATTTCAGATTTAAAAGCAACCCAAATCACAAAACGCGTCGGAAATTATTAGAACTAGGTGATTTTCCCGTGCTCATGCATGGTTATGAATATTCATAAAACTAAAATTTTATAATCACTGATTGTTATTTAATTTTAGTTTTAGTTTTGAATCAATTTATATGTATAATTTATATTAATAAATATTACATTATTCTAATTATACATATGACTTTTGATATATTATTATCGGTTTAATTAATTTTTTGATCAATAGTCGGTTTGGTTATCAATTTGGTATATTGGATAATATCTATTTTCAAATTCAGCTATAATATTTTAATTCTAAATAGAATAAAAATTTCATTAATTTTCTTATTTTTATTTCGGTTGATTATTGTCTTTAGATATGTAAATATATTATAGTCAAATTATGTATCTCTATAATATTATTTGAGAAGTCAGTATCCTATGTGTCGCTCTCACGTTCATTCTCGATGGTTGATTACATTGATACCCTTAATGAATTAAAAATAATTGAAAATAATATTATTAATTCTTTTATTTTTAGTTTTTCCTTTTCAAAAATTTCCAAAACGATATGTAATAAAAAAACATTTTTTTATAAAGTCATAAAAACAAATTTAATACGAAAATATATGTATATATAATATGATTTCATAAAAAGGAAAGTTGACAAAATAGTAATAATACATTTAAAAATATTTTTAAATAACATAAATATGTATATATAATATAATTTCATAAAAAAGGAAAGTTCACAAAATAGTAATAATACATTTAAAAATATTTTTAAATAATATAAAATATGCTTTTAGAGTAATAAAATAATTTATAATTAGTATTATTGAATTTTTATTTATTTTTCATATATTTAGTTGACTATAATATCTTTCAATTACAGAAAATTATCTAGAACTTATATTTTACTTATATAATATTATTTTCAAATACAATCACAATTTTGTATAGTGCTTATTATAAAGAGATATTAAAAACTAAAAAATAAATTTAACAATAAACATCGTTTGGTCAAAATAATTGTTCTAATGAACTAGATATATGATATTTTATCATTATTAAAATTATTTATTTTATTAATATTAATTGTTTTAAATTTTATGTTTTATGTTTGTGAAACTAAATATAACAATAATCAAAATATCAAAGCAAATCTGAATTCTCAATTTAAGATTATTTAAAATAAATTTCATTTTACATTCAATAAATCTAAATCATAAAGTTATTTAGAATTTATAAATGCATGTAACCTTTTATTGATCATATGATAACTCATAACATATTAACAAATAAAAATAAATACTAACCAACTCTTACAATTTTAGTTCTTTTGTAAAATTTATATATATCCATGAGACTTTAGAATATATTCGTTATATAAATTTACGTATTTTGGAATCAGACACTTTAGTTAATTTTTAATTCATTCTAAGCACAATATATCTTAAGTTATACATAATTTTCCTAAAATATATTTACATATCTAAGATAACACCCACCATATGCAAATAAGTAACTAATTAAAAATTAATATATTTTAAAAATATTACAGTTGAATTCAGAGATGCAATCCAATTTATCCAAATAATAACTAAACCAACCGTAAAACAACAAAATTGACTAGATATAACATATATAAAATTACAGTATAAGTAAAGTAATATAATACTATTAATATAAATGATGCATAAAATTATAAATTAATTTAAAATTAAATTTAAATAATAATCAATTATTATTATATATTTAATTTAAAAATATTTATACCCGTGCATGAGCACGGGAAAATCACCTAGTAACTTAATATATATTGTGCTTAAAATGAAATAAAAAATAAGCTGAAGTGTTTAATTCAAAATTACATAAATGAATATAATGATAATATTTTAAAGTCTCATGCATATAAATTGATTAATATATTTTTTTTTAATACGCTTTGAGCCAACCTCTAATTTATATGTATAAAATTAAATATATTATTATAAAATTATAAGATGTTTAATTTTGGATATAAATTATATCAGTCGAGTCATTCATTTTGTGAGTATATTGAGTTAAATATATTTTTAAATTAAACTGAAGTATAATTACTTTTTCTTTTAGTCAAGTCATATCAAATAAGTTTTATTTATCGCTTAAATATACATGTATTTTCATAATATTTATTTACTCTTTATTTTAGTTAAGTCAAATCAAATTATTTTTATTTATCTCTTAAATATACATGTATTTTCATAATATTTATCAAATTATATGTTGATTTCTAAAAAATATTAGAAAATAAAGTGTAATTGATAAATTTTTAGATGTTCATGAACATAAATATATATATTTTTATTATTTTAAAAATATATTTATGTTATTTAAAATATATATTAATGGAGGTATTACTATTTTGTGAACTTTCTTTTTTAATAAAGTCCTATTATATACATATATTTCGTTTTAAAATTTTAGAAATATTTCTTTTTTCTTATATATCTTATTTGGAAAAAGGTAAAAAAAGAATAATAATATTAAAATCTAATAATTCATTAAGGGTATCTATGTAATCAACCATCGCAAGAGTTAACGTGAGCACGACACGTAGGAAACTGAGTCTCAAATAATATTATAGAGATATATCTTCTGAAAGCATAAAAGTTTAACAAACTGAAAATATGTAGAAACATAATAGAAGAGGGTAGATATTGTGAATGTGGACCAATTAGGACAGTTTGACCAGCGTTTGCTTCTCCGATATTAACGAAAAAGAAAGCAGGAATTGAAATTTACAGAGTCGAGAGAGACTCTTTCTCGTCTTTGTTGGATACCATTGTCAACGCGGGTAAGGTAAATCCGTCTTTCATCCTTCAAAGCAATCGAGATTGCTTCCCCTCCCTCCTCTTGATTCATTCTTCAAGCACTGTGTGTGTCGTTGTTGATCTTATGCAGTTTTAAATACAGTTACGCTAATTTGAGTTTGAGTATTGAGAAAAAATGGATAATTATGGTTATCAACAACACTCTTATTACCCAGGAGCTCCTCCTCCAACTTCAGATCCATACCCTCCTCCTCCTACCCAAGCTTATCCTCCACCGCCACTTCATCACCACCAGTATGGTTCCATGTCTCATTCCGGTCCTTTAGATTACGCCCATCCTCCTCCTCCTCAACCATTTCACCACCAACAGTATGGGTCAATGTCTCCTTCTGATTATACCCACTACCGTCCACCACCACATTATTCCTATGATCCCCAACACCAACCCCAACCTCCTCATCCTCATGCTTACCCTTATCCTCCTCCTCCTCAACAACAACCTACACCCCATAATTCCTTTTCCTCCTATGGTTCCTATCATGAGCCACCACCCCCTCCTCCACCTCATCATGATAATTTCGGATCACATGTTTACCCTCCTCCTCCTCCTCTTCATGACCTTATGGGTGGTCTCAGTGTTTCTTCTCATCATCCCCCACCATCCCCCGGCTCCTACCATGCTTACCACTCCTCCTTTTCAACCCATTCTCATTTATCTCACTCCGGTAGGCTTGATTCCCCACTCCCACATAGTCCCAGCTTACAGATTGTTCCCTCTGGTAAACCCTCCTTGAAAGTCCTCTTGCTGCACGGTAATCTCGACATCTGGATTTCCCGCGCAAACAACCTCCCCAACATGGACTTGTTCCACAACACTCTGGGCGCCGTCTTTGGCAGCATAAGCAACATGATCGAAGGCCAGTTGAGCAAGAAAATCACCAGCGACCCTTACGTTTCCATCTCACTCGCCGGTGCTGTCGTTGGAAGAACCTACGTCATGAGCAACAGCGAGAACCCTGTCTGGGATCAGCACTTTTACGTCCCTGTTGCCCATCACGCCGCCGAGGTCCATTTCGTTGTCAAGGACAGTGATGTAGTTGGTTCTCAGCTTATAGGACTCGTTACCATCCCTGTCGAGCAGATACACTCTGGTGCTAGAATTGAAGGAACTTACTCCATTCTCAGCAGCAATGGGAAGCCTTGTAAACCTGGGGCCACTCTGACGCTGTCTATTCAATATACCTCAACGGATAAACTCAGTGTTTACCACAGCGGAGTTGGTGGGGGTCAGGGTGTCCCTGGAACATATTTTCCTCTCAGGGAAGGTGGGAGCGTGACGCTGTATCAAGATGCGCACGTGCCTGAAGGGATGCTCCCGAGGATAAGACTCGGGAATGGGATGTATTACGATAATGGCAAGTGTTGGCATGATATGTTTCATGCCATTTGTCAGGCTAGGCGTTTGATTTACATCACGGGTTGGTCTGTGTGGCATAATGTCAGGCTTGCTCGGGATAAAGGAAATCCTGCTTCGGAATGTACACTTGGTGAGCTCCTTAAATCAAGGTCCCGAGAAGGTGTAAGAGTCTTGCTTCTTGTTTGGGACGACCCTACTTCACGAGACATCTTGGGATATAAGACTGTAAGTTTACTAGAACCTTCCTTAAGCCAGTACTACTCTTTTTTTTTTTTGCTCTAAACATAGATAGAAGTAAGCACATCTTCATGTTCAAGGTTCCTTCTGTCTACTAGGAAGTACTCTCAGTTGGGTTTAAACTTCAGTATGATGCAATTTAGAGATGACATTGGGATTTATGTTAATTTGGAACAGGATGGGGTGATGGGAACCCATGACGAGGAGACGCGCCGTTTCTTCAAGCACTCCTCAGTTCAAATCTTGCTATGCCCTCGAAATGCTGGGAAGCGACATAGTTGGGTCAAACAAACGGTAAAAAGCATGAATTATTTTCTTTTAGTTGAGGTGGTATTCGGGCTTCTATTTATGTTTTTTAGTCGAACAGGAAGTTGGAACCATCTATACACACCACCAAAAAACCTTGATAGTAGATGCTGATGCTGGCGGTAACAGGAGGAAAATCGTAGCTTTTGTAGGCGGACTTGATCTCTGTGATGGTCGATATGATACACCTCAACATCCCTTGTTTAGGACGCTGCAAACAGATCATAAAGGTGACTACCACAACCCCACTTTCACGGTATGATTTCTTTTTTTCTTTATGCCCCATTTCCCTTTTTATAATACTCACTGGTGGCGAATACTTAATTTTCTTAAATGATTTTCATTCTTTCTTTGTCCTCTTCAGTTCTTGACTTGGTTACTTTGGTTTTGAGTGAGAAAATTATCTTAACTTGGATGTACTAAAATGTAATGTAATTTAGGGTAACCTCTCCGGTTGTCCAAGAGAACCTTGGCATGATTTGCACAGCAAGATTGATGGCCCAGCTGCGTACGATGTCCTGACCAATTTTGAGGAGAGGTGGTTAAAGGCTGCGAAGCCTCACCGAATCAATAAGTTGAAGACATCATATGATGATGCATTGCTCAGGATTGAAAGGATTCCAGATATATTAGGAGTCTTTGATGCTCCTACTGTTAGCGCAAACGACCCTGAGGCTTGGCATGTTCAGGTAAGCACCTCGAAACTCCTCTTGTATATGCAATTTACGTCACTCTTTCCCCTGCATTTGGGTTGGGGATAGAAAATTTGATGAAGTTCATAATTGGTCAGAAAACATGGAGAAACCAGTTATTGATAGTCACTCACTCTTTTAGTTTGTTTGTTTTGATTTTCTGCGCCAATTATTGTTTGGGATTCTTTCAACAACATATAGACTTAGCGTTGGTGTATTCATACTCTCTGTACTTGCAATGGGGTTTGGAGGAAGAGAAAAGATTTGATGAATCCCTTATTTATGTATAACTAGAAAGCAACCATAGATTCTGAATATTTTTTTATTATCTCTGCCAATTTATGTATGGAATTCTTTCTACAGCGTATAGAGTGAAGCCAGTTTTGATGTATTTATTTCTTGTTTTAAGTCCCTCCAGGGATATTAAAAAAAGGATGTTTTGGACTTTGGGTCCGCAGATAGTTTCCAATTAATTTTGTTGATAAGCTGATGGTTTTTCTCAGATCTTCCGTTCCATCGATTCAAACTCTGTCAAAGGTTTCCCAAAGGATCCAAAATATGCTACAAGCAAGGTGAGTTGATAATAATAATAATTGTGCTGTCATTATGGATGGGAAAATGATTGGATACAAGGGTTTTGTTTGGACAGAATTTGATGTGCGGTAAGAACGTTCTCATCGACATGAGTATACACACCGCATATGTAAAGGCCATTCGTGCAGCTCAACACTTCATCTACATTGAGAACCAGTATTTCATTGGATCCGCCTACAACTGGAATGCTCACAAGGATATAGGTTTTGTTTTTTGTTTTTTTCAAATGAGCTACTGATTAAAGAAACTCAAAATTAGGATAATCTACTCAAAGATGCAATGTATATATAATTGATAAAAATACAAGATATCTGAGTATTTGTCTCAGTTAAGAATTAGTGTTGCATGTTTGAATGTCTGCCTAAAGCTTTTTCTTCGAGTCTACTAGTTCTGCTCTTATTTCCTAAAACACTTTTGAGGCTTTTTCGAGTTTTATGACTAAAAGCTGATTTTTTTTCCAGTGAAAAAGGATTCATGGAAACAGAGACTATTTTGATAGCTTTTCAAATGCATTAGCCTTGTTTGTGGTTACGTTGAAGTGTCTTTCCTATCCAAATATTGAGCATTATGTCTAGCGTTTTTTGCTTTTTGAGTCAATCAATCTGGTTTAAGGTTGCTTATTGTTTGTTGATGGTCATGTAGGTGCCAATAACCTGATTCCTATGGAAATTGCTTTGAAGATTGCTGATAAGATCAGGGCAAATGAAAGGTTTGCTGCCTATATTGTCATTCCAATGTGGCCGGAGGGAGTTCCTACCGGTGCTGCTACACAGAGGATTCTATATTGGCAGGTAAGTCCAGGAAGACATGACTTTACAACCGTTAGTCTTATATGTAGCTGGAGACTAGAATTTCTTACAGGCACATTTTGATATAATAGAACAATAGGGATCCAGAAAAAAAAAAGCAACATGTTATTCATTCATTTTGAATGGGTTATGATTTATAAGCTTGAAAAATAGAATGTTCCTTCCTTCCATCACTGGAAACTGAATGTCATAGTTATTGTCCTTGTAGCACAAGACGATGCAAATGATGTATGGGACCATCTATAATGCGTTAGTGGAGGCCGGGCTTGATGATAAATTCTCCCCACAAGACTATCTGAATTTTTTCTGTCTTGGAAACCGAGAGATGGTGGACGGAAATAGTGAAAGAAGTCAAAGCAACGAGAACACTCCTCAGGTAGAAAGCTGCTACCATGTATATTCATTCATATTATCATTGTTAACTGAAATGTTGTTGTTGTTGTTATAGGCATCATGTCGAAAGAGCAGAAGATTTATGATATATGTGCATTCAAAAGGGATGGTTGTTGATGACGAGTATGTGGTAATTGGATCTGCAAACATAAACCAAAGATCAATGGAAGGCTCGAGAGACACGGAGATTGCAATGGGAGCTTATCAGCCTCAACATACGTGGGCAAGAAGACAGTCTGGTCCTCGCGGCCAGGTAAGTAATCTCTTAGATGATTTCATATATCTGAGCCATATTGAAAACACTTTGTATATCAAATTTCTGCAGATATACGGGTATAGAATGTCGCTATGGGCAGAACACATGGCTACGTTAGATGATAGCTTTGAGGAGCCAGAGAGCCTAGAGTGTGTAAGCAAGGTGAGAAGAATGGGGGAGGAGAACTGGGAACAGTTTAGGGCAGAGCAAGTGTCGGAGATGAAGGGACATCTGTTGAAGTATCCGGTGGAAGTTGATCGGAAAGGCAAAGTACGGCCACTACCCGGGAGCGAGGAGTTCCCTGACGTTGGGGGAAATATTGTCGGATCCTTCCTTGCCATACAGGAGAATCTTACAATCTGATTGAAACCATTGATGATTGTTATTGACTTGCACATTCTTTTATTGGGGGTGTAAAATTAAACATTATATAAACAAAAATTGATTGGACATTTGTTTGTGTAGATTGATTCATACATAATAAAGGACATTTGCAATATCAGACATCATCCTTAAAAGAAAGGCTTGTTCTTCGGATGTAAATGTCCCATTCCTTCCACACATCTCTCTGGTAAAAACCATAGCCAGCCATCTCTTTGGTGATTCCCTCCCATCACTACGGTAGTCTTGTCCCAATGGTGAGAGACGTGTTCCTCGTAAGTGAATTAGTATGGATTGATTGCTTGGGACTAGAGAAAAAGGATTACAAGAAAATTGTAGCAAAGCTAAGGGTGAGATGATGATGTTTCTTTTATGTCCGTCTCTTTCACTTTGTTTGTTTCATATTTTACTGTTTGATGGAACAAAACACTAACATGTCTTATTTTAGAATACCATTGGTTTCAGTTTACACGAATTCATCTTGTAGTCACCGAATTGTGTCTTTGTTTGTTTGTTTCCAGCAACACTTTATACAAATGCAAAAATTAGAATAATACACTGTGTCCCTAAAACTTATATAATATTTGGCGTATAAGCTTTTAGGGGGTTTACCCAGGGCCGGCTCTGATTGGGACCCACTGTTGTGGGTTCAGCGAGTCTACGAGCTGTCTCTTTGTTCAAAGAAACAAAAACCTTGGGGACCACTGTGCTTTGTACGTAGTGTTTAGCTGAAGAAGACAAAGATAACGTTTTTCTCTGTGGTCGAACATGGTCCTCTCTTTTCGTCTCCGAGTTCTGGTGGGTACATGGCAAGTTTGAACCTTGGAGCTGCTGCTTCGTTGATCAACGAGTCTTCCGGCTCCTCCTTAAAACTACGGATTGGCTTCAGAAATAAACGGGTTAGACGAGTTGCAGAGGTTAGATTACAATCTAAGATACTCTCTCGTTCCGTAAAGTCTTTTTTCAAGATTTTTGATTGTTTTTTTGAAGTTAAGAGTATAGTTCTGTTCTGTTTTGGCATTTGTAGAAATGGAGGTTTCGTGTTCAGCAAATGTCAGGAATGGAACAGATGACCAAACATGAGCTAGCTCGATCTGCTAAAAGGTGATGTGTTTTTTGTACTACTCTGTGTATTAATTATTATTATTATGTTAAAAGGGAAAAAAGTGTTTTTGAGCTTCATCACTCATTGAGTAGTGTTGTGGAGTTGAGATAGTTATGATAAGTATTGTGTGGATGATATCTTTCATCTAAACCTTAATAGAATTTGTCTCTCTCTCTTTCTCTTGATGCAGAAGCGAGTCTTTGAGACAGATTCTAAAGCAATATGGAATATCAGTAGAAAGCCCTGAAAATAATAAGACTAGTAGTAGTAGACTTGATGACGACCTGAACTGTCAAGAGAAGCACGACGATGCTGTTCCTTCTTCTGTCATAGATGACTCTGAGACGGTATTTAATACAAGTCATGGATCTCTAGGTTTTCAAGTTTGTTCTTGTTGTTGAGTGAGAATCCCAAATTTACTTTAAGACCTTATGAAGTGTTGATGGATATTGACAGAACACAACTGAGGAGTTACTTGATTTAAGCTGGCAAGAGAAACATGGTAGCATCACCGAGGATCTTTCAGAACTAAAACACCACAACTGTAAAGAGAAGCATGACGCTGTCATAGATGACTCTAAAATGGTACTCGTTGAAGTTGTGGATTTGTATCTTTTGTGTTTGAATTTATTATTTGAGTTTCTGACTTTCATTAGTCTTTGAAATATTTTAATGAGTATTTGACAGAACACAACTGTGGAATTATCTGATAATGTGAGCACCACAGGGGAAGTTTCAGGACAACATCACCACAGGTTTCCCCATGTAAGAACATATCTTTACAATGTCACCCCCCGCCCCCCCCCCTCCCTTTCTAAATGATTTTGAGTTTTCTTACTGTGTTTAAACGATGCTTCGGTTGTGTTAGCTTAGATTCCTTTTGGATCTCTGATTTAGCTTAGCCTTGGATACACTCCCAGCCTGTAACCATGTGTGTCTTTAGTTAAAAACAGGTGCTTTGTTCACTTCTTCTCTGCTTCCTGTTCTTGGTTTCTGCATGTTATGCATTATTGGAACGCTACACGCAGTAATCTCCAGTAAAACGTCACGAGGTCATCACGACGATGGCTCCAAAACAACAAGGTGGGAAACCGCATTGATGAGTGAAAGGAACGGCGAGCCCGTTGCTTCTGATGAACATGACACGTCGCCAGAATACACAGTCAGTTAACACAACTTTTCTGAGTAGTATTCGTTTTCCAGATTTTTTTTGCGTCCGTTTTTGAAGAAGCAAAGTGCATGCAGGTCAGTTCAGCGTATCATGAAGCTACTAATGAAGTGGATGAAGCATGTAGCAAAGTAGAGCGTGAGTACAAGAGGTTTCTTTTGGAATGTGGACTAAGTGAAACTTAGGTTCCTACTTCCTTGTTCATACTAAGTAGTTCTTGAGCAAAACAAAAACTCAATTGTGTTTGGTTTAAGTCAATCAGGTGGTTTTGTAGCTGGTTCGATGAATTTGGTCCCTGGTTTACTCAATTGATTTTTCTTGTGTAGGAAGAACAAATGTTGACAAATATCGAGGGTGGACTAAGAGTTTTGAAAGGAAGAACAAATGTTGACATAATTGTACAGAAAGCTTTCGATCGTTAGGGTTTTTCCATCAATATAAAAGGAAACTTTACAACAATTAGGGAGTTTTGTAGAGCATCTGGAGCGTTTTAAAAGATTAAACCAATCAAAGTCTTAGTAAGTAATGACTATTAGGGTCAAAATACGTCTTACCATTATCAACGGCTAAAATTACTAGAAAAACTTATTGTCTACACAACTCAGTCGGGAATGATTTCGAATAAATGGGATGTGTTGCTTTCTGTTGAAGATCTTGTTTTAGCTTTGTGACTTCAACATCATCATTAGCCGTGATGATATATAAATGTGTTCTTTGAATTACTTGGTGCTTTTTGTTTTCGTTAAATCTCGATTCTACAAGAGGTAACGGAGTTTGGAGTGGAGTCTTCAATGTTTCTGGTTCACCGCAGCAAGTTATAAGCCTGATGACTTCTAGAGAGGCTGGAAGAGATTTACAGACAATGGGTATAGAGAATGTGATAACAGGAGGACTTGCAGTAATAAACTGGCCTTTGTACGAGGGCATGTTGTTGAGGGAAGGACAAAGGGAAGATGGCAAGGACCGTGATAGTCAAAGCATTTGTCTTAGCTTTGACTGCTTTGCACTTGTTGTATTGAAAGATAGAACCAATATATTGATACAATGGGCATAAAGTATGGATGCAACTACTAAATAATGTTTGTGAAGTTTTCAACATCAATTTTATTATAAAGATTTTTGCTTTACAAAATCTAAAAAGAAAGAGGGAATCCTAATAGTCGAACATATATAGACAGATAAAAACTAGCCTCTCCAGTTTCTATTCATTATGCAGTCTTTATCGAAACCACTCCTTATCCTGCCTTCAATTCTTCGAAGAAGATCTGCCATGGAACCAATGAAATTTTGAGATTTGTATGGTAAAAACATTTGTTTCGAAACAGCATTTCTGGAGGATGTACAAGTATGAAGCTTACTTGCATATACAGAGTAGTCAGAAAGAATGGAGGACTGATGATGGGCTTTCACTGGTTCTGAAGGTGACCAGTTTCAGGAAGCTTTGTCAAGCAAACCCAAAACCTTCACTGGCTTCGTGAATGGCAAGTAGCAGGCGTTCCTGAAGTTGTTCCTTGGATGGATACTCAGGGAGGTCTAGTTGGTTAAAACTGTAGCAGAAAAGAAGAGAGAATTAAGGCGACTATTAATCGTTTATATGAGTAAAGGCTTTGTAACCATGTATGAGCTGATGGCAACCGCTCTGGACCTTCATATGCTTTATGGATTTGTAATCTATGAGGTCCAGAAATACCTTGCAGTGCCTTGAAACCTTCTAAAGGAACCTGAAAACGAGATGCACCTCTCGTTAAATCAAAACAAAATTTCCCTATTCTTTTCAAAAAGGGAAGATTGGCAGCATGATACGAAGAATATCAACAACAAAGAAATAAACCATATATATTTCACGTGACTTCGGCCGAAGCTAAGCTGCTGATATTTGGTTTTACCTTTGATGTTCCGGTGACAAACTGAAGAAATCTAGCCATATCTTCTTTGTTAAAAGTTTAACGACCTCCCAGAACCAATGAATAACAGGGGATCCTACCGTATAGCTGGTATACTCCGTATTGGCTTTAAGATCATCGACTGAAAAAACGAAATAACAGGAGACTGTTATTATAACTTAAATGCATAGACAATCACATATAAACAATACAATCCAACTTACAATCAATCTCAGGCAATCCACTGATTAGGAGCTCGAGCTCTTTATCATTAAAAATGGATACAAGCTCACGAGGTATCAGCTCATTAAAGCCTTCAAGGAAGGCGTTGATTTGTGGCCGAATAGCATTGGTAAGTATATGTCCGGCCACAAGGTCAACATACTCATGTTTTGTTTCTTCTGTCACCCGTATGTGTCGTCCCCCAGGTTTAAGCTCATAGTCCGTCACCTTTTCAATAAAAATAAAATAAACAGTTCAACATGGTATAGGCCCTTTGGCAGAAAAGCAAACATCTATTATGATATTATCACACACCTCAGTCTTTTCTATTTTAAAGATGCTAACTTCTATTTTTTGAGCTTTTAATAATACATGAAAAAGGTAAATTAAAATTAGCTCCACAAACCTCTAACAACCACTTCAAATTCTTGTAGTAATCAGGACCCACGGTCTCGATGTCCTGATAAGTCATCTTCACACCAAGTATGTGCTTATAAAAGGAACGAGTAAAATAAACATCCAAAAGCTGCCCATCAAACAATGCCTTCGCCACCTGCAATGACAATCACAAACACATCAGATAGCAAAAACAAACAATTGGATCATTGCAACGACATGATCCTGCTATTACCATGCGACCAACAAATTTGAAGTATGACAGATGCTCGGTTTGGTAAACCGAATTTGGATTAGGCTGGAAGGTGGCATCATTTCCAACGGTAGTGAAAGCAACGCTCCTTTGTCAAATATAACTCTTGACAGTAACTGATACCATTCTCTTGTAAGACCACCAGCATCAATACCTTCCTCACCTTGAAACTGCACATTCAGACGTCCTTTCAGATCCTGTGGGGAGCGCATACGTAACTGGTTGTATGAATCTTCTAACACATAAGCTCGGCGGACACTAATACGCAATGGCCCAGAAATGTGTTGATCATGCTGGTGTCTTATCCTTGACCTGAAGTAGGATTTCTTGTTGTCAAAATTAATCAGCCTTGGTGCCTTGAGCATCATCGAAAGGGACTTCTCCAGTAAACTTGGATTTTGCCTAACAAATGAATTCAACAGTCGCCTATGCTTCTCCGCAAACTTTGAAAAAGTAACAGAGCAGTTTTTTTCCTGAGAATCTGCACTGGTTTTAGATGATGAACTGTGAGCAGACTCCTTCACTTCTCCCGCTGTCACATTCACATGATCCTGCTGTAATATTGGCGGAGTTTGAATTTTCTCACACAGAACAAAGAAAGCCTCAATAAGAGGTAGGAGCCTTTGAGTTCCTGGAGAAAGAGAGCCCGGAGGAGAGACCCCTAAGACATGATCACCAGAGTTTGCATTGGAAACAGTTGTTGTAGCGGCAGTATGATCCAGCTGCAACTCATTCACGCTGATACACTGGCTAAGTTCTTGCCAAAGGGGCTCTAGTGCCACGTCTAGTCTCTGCATAATGTTTTGTTCCTCCTGCTCAGTTTCCTTTTCGGTTCCCACTTTGCTATCATCAATAGGGGAAGTTAGTGAGCTAAGCACTTGTAGAACACGGAGAATTGAAGCACCTGCCATGGAACATGTACTATGACTAATCTTCTGCGTATTGCTCAATGTTGCCAGCTCACGCACAGTTGAGGCACTCAAACCACTAGCCAATTGTTCTTTCGTGAAAAACTTGCAATGAGCCACATCTACGGCAGCCAGCTTCTTCAATACCTCTCCTGCTAACGAGTAAATTTTATCCGATAACCTATTAAGGTATTAAAACATGTGTCAGTTTAAAGCAATTCAGGGATATAATAGAAATCAGGGTAAGAAAACACGTATGTTATGTAGACTACGACATACTACATAAATATAAGAAGAAATAGGAAAAACAGGAAAGCAATTAACAAACGAAAAGAGGGCTCGTACCCTTCATATCCAAGAAGAATGCAAAGATTGCAGAGATCGGACTGTGGCAACTGCAGGAATATGTTATATATATCAGTACAGTTCTTCCTTCTTGCAACAGATAGCTCAGCATCACCCAGTAGCTCAGATTCAGCATCCTTTTGTGTTTCAATCAAAGCTTCTTCACCAACCGGATTCTTCTCTGATTTCTCAGGCACTCCTGATGACGGGGACCAACCCTCAATTCGGGATGCTGATGTGTAGACAACTACTTGTAGTAAACCCATGACCTGAAACATACGGGGATTAACTCCATATACCCCATGCCCTCATAAACTCAACCTTACTACCCTAACCCTATTCATCCTATCCCTTTATCCTTGCACTTCCTAAATTAGCCTTGCATCTATTTATTCCCCAATTAAATAATTCAACCATATCCCAACTACCTATATGGCCCACATAGGCAACCTTAACCAATCAAATTTTTTTGTCCCCAC